TTGCATAAGAAATAGTTAAAATTTTGAGTGGAAAAATTGTAATTAATTTCCTGTTAATTGACAACCGAACCAATTCGAACGTTCGAAATCATTATTTCTGCCCCTAATTAAAACGTTAATGCAATTTCTTTAAAACTGTAATTATCACATACACAAATAATTAACGGTTTGCAATAATTATGCCTCTTGGAAAAGCTCCCAATTGATTAAAGCTGTAGATATGTAAAGTTAAAAGGTATGTATACTCATTGCAGCATACACATATTATTCGCTTCATTAATTTTGTAGATTTCCTTCTGTACAAATTGTTAAGAATTAGTTAAGAGTTGAACATGCAAATTAAATTAACGCTAATTTATGTGGGAATTATTTTAAATCGTCGATTTTTATGCGTTATTATCTAATAGTGAAAAAAATTGGGTACCTAAATTCCACGGTGATCAATCTCGTAACTAAACGTTAAAGGTAACAGTATACGATCCGTTAGGAAACATATAACTTTACAATCTGGCTATTTACAGGACAAACACCTTAACTAAAAAGAACTCCAACAAGAGTCTCAATCATGCTTCATAACCTCAATGTATCTTATGAACGGTATTTAGGTTAATAGTGTAATAAAATCTTTGTGTTATTGATAAATCCCTTTAAATATAAGCATACAATAATCTAGTGTTCAATAATAATTAAAACTAGAATCATTCGGGTTTAGCCGGGCGTCTCTTAAGACGGCTAAACCCAAATGTTTCTAGTTCTAAGTCTAGTGTTAGTTCTATTTTAGTTCAATAAAAATATACAACAATCTAGCGCTGATTAACGATTAAAACTAGTGTTAGTTCTAGTTTTATACTATCACTAGAACTAACGCACGACCTAGAACTAGAAACATTCGGATTTAGCCGCACGTCTCTCAAGACGGCTAAACCCGAATGATTCTAGTTCTAGGTCTGGTGTTAGTGCTAGTGATAGTGCTAGTGCAAAACTAGAACTAACACTAGACCGAGAACTAGAATCATTCGGGTTTAGCCGCACGTCTCTCAAGACAACTAAACCCGAATGTTTCTAGTTCTAGGTCTTGTGTTAGTTCTAGTGATAGTGGCAGTGTAAAACTAGAACTAACACTAGACCAAGAACTAGAAACATTCGGATTTAGCCGCACGTCTCTGGAGATGGCTAAATCCGAATGATTCGAGTTCTAGGTCTAATGTGAGTTTTAGTTTTACACTACCACTATCACTAGAACTAACACAAGACCTAGAACTAGAATCATTCGGGTTTAGCCGCACGTCTCTCAAGACGGCTAAACCCAAATGATTCTAGTTTTAGGTCTTGTGTTAGTTTTAGTGATAGTGCTAGTGCAAAACTAGAACTAACACTAGACCGAGAACTAGAAACATTCGGATTTAGCCGCACGTCTCTGGAGATGGCTAAACCCAAATGATTCTAGTTTTAGGTCTTGTGTTAGTTCTAGTGATAGTGTTAGTCTAAAACTATGTTTAGCCGTATTAAGAGACGCACGGCTAAACCCAAATGTTTCTAGTTCTAAGTCTAGTGTTAGTTCTAGTTTTATACTATCACTAGAACTAACGCACGACCTAGAACTAGAAACATTCGGATTTAGCCGCACGTCTCTCAAGACGGCTAAACCCGAATGCTTCTAGTACTAGATTTTGTGTTAGTTCTAGAAGTTCTGGAAAGACTAGAAGAAGAACGAGAATGAAGTAATCGGTATTCCAAGCATGATACAGAAAAGCTTCTAGAACAAAAGTTGTAGCAAATTTTACACTTTACACGTTGTTTCCTAACACTTTTGCTCTCAGATGCATAAATGTGGAGAAATATTTGAAAATATGAAAATTAGAAGAGTTGGTAGTTTTACAAGTTGCTAATGGAAAAAATCGGTATTCCAAGCATGATACAGCAAAATCTTTTAGAAGTTCAAGAGTTGTAGTAAATTTTACCCTTACACATTGCTCTCTAACACTTTTGCTCTCAGATGCATCAATGTAGAAAACACTTCTCAAAATATCTTTTAGTTTTTGAGATATCAATTGTTAAACTCAACCAATTAATTTTTTTCATTTTTGAGGTTAATCTAAATTTTCGCTCGGTTTAAAAAAGTCGTAGAAAATCAATTTGATAAGATATCGTAATGAAATTTTCAGGAATGATACAAAAATATGTCAGCTTTTTAATGAAAGTGTCTGTTTTTAAAAACACCTTTTCATTCTTGAGATAAAAATGTTTCAACACAACTATAATATTCTCATCTTTTTCGATTAATAATTTTTTTATTATTTTCAAAAAATCGACAAAAATATATTGTTTTATTAATCACTATGAAGTTATCACCATATATAAAGACCATTACACACTTTTCAATGAAAAAGACCGCTTTTTAAAATATCTCGCAGTTTTTGAGATATTAATCGTTAAACTCAATCGATTATTTTCACTTTTTGAGGTAATCTTAGACTTAACAAGAATGGAAGAATGTCTCGAATGAATATCTCGAAAACTATGCAGTTTAAAGCATTAAAATCGTATGGCATTTTGCAACACCTTGTCAGAAGGAATCCAAAAACCTTAAAATATACAGGTGTTCTATTTAAAAAACACACTCACCATGTCGTAACTCAGACTGCCGTCATCATTTTTATTTTATTTCAAAAATAGATTCAAGAAATATCGAAAATAGTTTCAAGTAACTTTTATTTAAAACTTTTTTTAATATAAGTTGAAGTCATGGGCCATTGAACCATTATTCCATACTTTTTGTAAGTTTCTGTATATAATTAAATTCAGAATTCTATTTATTAAAAATCTAAAGTTTGCCAATTTATGTGAATCGGGATGAAATGAGTCAAAGGGTATTGTGGTTGGAATGGCAGTAGGTTTTCTGTATACAGGGTGTCTCACGTAACTGGTTCGTTAGAAATTTTTTAGATTTCACTATTCGTAGAGGTTTGAAATTTTAGTAGCATGGGTTGTTCATTCTAAACTTTCAATCTAAAATATTTTCAAGATGGCCACCACTTCAGGTCTACCGGAAATAGACCACAACTTCGTTATTTTAAATGGAAAGCTATAGTTTTTATTACACCTTTCAATTATACATAAAAAAATATGTTGACTTTGATAAAAGTTGTTGGTACCTACCATTTTTTGTTTTCGAGTTATTTTGATTGTAATTTCACCATGCTCTTTAAAAGCCTATATCTCAGTTAACGTTCATTAAAAAAAACCTCTAAATTGGCACGATTACTCTTCAAATGTTGCCAAATAGATTGTCATTTCTTGTATCAGAGTATCTTATACAGGGTGGTCAAAAATTGAATTACTGTTTCTCCATATTCAATGGCTAGAAAGTCGAAAATTTTAAATGGAATACCCAGTATTTTTTTACCCTATCAGAAAGGGAATTTAATTCTCTACAAATTATCTATAAACATTCCTATACCTATTTATTGTAGTTTCCTTGATATTTGATACAATACATTTGATTTTCTAAATTTCTTTGATTAAAAATTATAGTCCAAGTTTTCTTATAAATAATGTCCTTTACAAAACCGCCAAAGTTAATTAAATAGAAAACTCGTAGTGATCTATCTTCCTCTATAAACTACTTCTTATTTAGCGCATTATTTCATTGAATTAATCCTGATTTAAAATCTTGTTGACATATCTAGTACGATTATTAAATTATTTATGAAGTATTTACATAATTAAGTTGTACATTTTTCAAAAAAATTTTTTCCAGTTTTATATTTCTGTTTCCACAAAGAACTTTTACCTTTACCACAACACCTGTTGCCCCTTTATTATACCTTGGGTCTTCATCAAAACGGAAACAACGCTTGGTCGATGGAGGTAGAAGCAATTTTAAACGAACTAAATTCATTTGGGGTGAAGTAACCGTTGGATTACGGTGAGAACCACGCAATATGTGAACCAAGTCGTTTTTAAAAAAGTTAACCTAACAGTTGTGTGGCTTATGGTGATGATGTGATATGGTTAGTTCTGTGAATATCGTCGTTGTGCAAGGTAGACTCTTTAAATGATTTATCAAACACCAAAAAGTTCGAGAAAATTTTTCAGTGTTAGGAGGATTTTATTCGGTATGAAATTATAATGTTATTGTTTTCGTTTTGTTTCTCGGAAATAGATGGTCACGGTTACTTGGGCTTTTTGTTAACATCATAAAAATAGTTTTTTTTTGTTGTTATCTTGATCTTATATACAGCGTGTTAATTAATTATCGTACCAAGTATGCAACCAATATCACTCTGCAACACGCATCATACGTAAATCGCGTATTGCAATAAAAATAATGTGATGTTGGTTGCATACTTGAAGTACGATAATTAATTAACACACTACTTGATTCTTATTTTTAGTAAAAATTAAAATTATTTTTTTCTCGGTTTATTGAAATAGTCCATAACTTTAATGGTCAAATAAAAAGTGTTCAAATCCAGTAGCCAAGCGTATCTTATTTTTCGCAACCGACTTCCCGCCTTTCTATGTAAATAGCCCCTCTACCGCGAACTTTAAGCCGTTCCGCACTGAGTTTCTCTGCTCACCGAGTACAATGAAAAGCCATATCATCCTCAGTTGGGGTTTTTCTACAATCGAGATTGGATTGAAATCAGATTTCGTGTTATGTGTTAAGTTGATAATAAAAGTTTTTGTAAATGATGACGTCGTGTCATGGCCTCGGGTCGCACCGTGCGCCAAGTGAAGCACGGGGAAAAATTGAGGAGATCTCAAAGCTCTCTCAACCCGTTTACTACAACCCAAGAATTTATAGGAAATGTTAAGAAAAACGGTAAAATATTTATGATTCAATTTTGTAATCTCATGTTTATTTCATGTATGCCAAATAGCTTCTAGCTGTTGATTTTAAAGTGGTACCCACTCAGAATGATTCAGCTATTAAGACACTTTCATTTTTGCATAACTTAATAATGTTTTTTTAGTAAAACTTTTTTTTGTTTTAGTTGAGGTGGATGGTTATGGGCCATATAAGCCTGTGCCGCCTCCAAAGCCTCTGCCACAGCAGCCGTCAACTTGTCTTACTCCTCCTCCTTACAGGATGCCCCCTTACCCCCTGTACAACGAGCCTAACATCCCTGGGGCAACGGCGAACGCCAGTTTGGACGCACCTGTCGCGATATCATCACCTGCCACACCACAAAACCTGCAAACACATTCAAGCAAGTTCCCGGTAAGTTATGAAGGTGCAAAGGAACTTTACCAAGAAAGTTTTTACCCCGAGAAACGGTTCTTTTAAATCTTTGATCAAGTGTAATTACCATTTTTTTTTCTTGCCATTTGAAGTAGGAACGAAGCAAAGGCGCGTAACGCCATTAATTTGTATGAGGTTGAAAAAGCCGTAAGGCGCTGATTAACGCTAGATCCTTATCTTAGTTCCTGCGGGCCTCTTCCCAAGCTTGATTTCTCAAGCAAGACGGTTCTTAATCCCCTCTCCATATTGTCACTTATTAAGAAATCTTTGGTGTTTACGCCGGGACGCTTTCCGCACCGGCAGATACAATCGATAATGGTCAATTAAAGCCAGACAAAGTAAATACGGTGGAGATTGGGATACGAATTTATTACGTCGTTGCAAGTAAAGTCGGAAAACTGGTCGGATGACGCTGTCACCACAGATTTTTACTCGCATCCGTAGATATGTTGAGTGACCACAACCTCTCATCTGGTCAATTTTCCTCCAAACGAGGTATGCGCGTGAGATAAACCAGTTTCTACGGTGGCTCTCCAAGAATTCGAGAGTAATTGGCGTCGCGTGAACTTGAACTAAAAGTGGAAAAGCTTCGAGTAACGTCTTTTCTGAGATGGTTCCCATTGCTCCAATTACAGATTTTTCTTTTTTTTATGTCTCAAAGAAACCAATAATTAAAGTTAATTATTTCTTACTTTTACTTCTTCGCTTTACTTTCTTATTTTGAATTTAACAAAAAGGTTTTGTTAGAATGTGATTTACTTTATTTTTTGATTAAAATAAAATGACCTCTGAGAAAACGGTAGCAAATTACACGAAATTACACCCCAGGCCTATCAACGTGTTATGACCAGAAATTACAGGTTAAAATAAGAGCTTGTTAAGCAATTAGTCCACTCCGACTTTGATTTTCGAAATAAGGCAAAAAAAAAAACGAATTCGCAAAATAACTCTGGGAATCTTTTCTTTGAATTGATCAGCGTCGACCGAACGCCTTTCTTCTTTCCGTCTTTATTCGTTCGAAAGAAGCGGAAGGCGGCCACGCGAGAGGACTTTAACCCCAACCATTGTTACCTTGCTCTACTAGATCTACGAATTTCCTGTTGCTTGAACTTCAACTTGAACTCATATAAGTAATTTTTTTTATTTTATTTAAGAATTCTCATTAAAACAAAAAAATCTTGTAGACAATTCGACGAGTTTTGCAAACAAGTGACATAACGACTTTATAAAAAATTTGTCCTTTTACAATTTGTGCAATTCTAGGAAACTTGCGTAGATAGAGTTGCAAAATATGGCGTGTATTATTAACTAGGTACAAGGTCTCGAGATTGTTCACAGTATCTGAGCAATTCAACAAGCTCATAATGCTCATCAAAGACCTTTTGTTACAAGAATTGTTGCATTTGCGGTTTGAAAAATCTTTGCGAATCTTCCAAGACACCTTGTATGTCGTTACCACAACGTGATATCTGGTGTTTATGACATCAATTGGTTGGTACAGATCTTCACCATATTCTTCTTTTTCTCCTGATCCTTATGTGTGATGGATAAATCTTTTTCATATTCCTCCATCCACTTCTTCCACTCCCTCCGGTTCCTAGCTAATTCCTTTATGTCTCTTTTTCCTAACTTCCCCTCTTTTTCTTATCGCAGTATCCGTTGTAGTTCAATAAAAGTATACAACAATCTAGCGCTGAATAACAAATAAAACTAGACTAACACTAGCACTAGAACTAACACTAGACCTAGAATTAGAAATATTCCGTTTAGCTATACATCTATTAAGATGGCTGGTAGATTGTAACTAGTTAGCATAAAATATCACTATGTTGCATATTTTCATTGAACTAAAACTAGAACTAGCACTAGACCTAGAACTAGAAAGTATCGGGTTTAGCCACACGTCTATCAAGACGGCTAAACCCGAATGATTCTAGTTCTAGTGTTAGTTCTAGTTTTGTACTAACACTATCCCTAGAACTAACACTACAACTAGACTCATTCGGGGTTAGCCGTCTAGATAGACGTGCAGCTAAATCCGAATGTTTCTAGTTCTAGGTCTAGTGTTCGTTCTAGTTTTGTATTAACAGTATCACCAGAACTAACACAAGACCTACAACTAGAATCATTCGGGTTTAGCTGCACGTCTATCCAGACGGCTAAACCCGAATGATTCTAGTTCTAAGTGTAGTGTTAGTTCTAGTTTTACACTAGCACTATCACCACAACTAGTCCAAGACCTAGAACTAGAATCATTCGGATTTAGCCGTCTTGATAGACGTGCAGCTAAATCCGAATGTTTCTAGTTCTAGGTCTAGTGTTAGTTCAACTTTTCAACATGGTTATACACCATTTGCTCGTCGACGGATGTATATCTTTGACATTTAGAACATTCTCTATGAATTCGTAGGAGGTGTTATGAAAAGCACCCTCTATGTCTATGAAAGCGTAGGGCTATCTTTTTGATTGCAATTGTCTCCTCTAAAGTGCTAGCCAAAGCATGGGGAGCAATAATTGTTGATTTTGTTTTCTGGTAAGCATGTTGACTTGGATGGAGTGGATTAGTGACAAGCACTCCATTCCTGAAGTGTTGATCATTTTATACGACCATATAAGGTTCATAAGCCAAATGTAAACGAGCAATCTCCATAGTTGTGATGTTTTCTAGTCACTATAGACGTCCATTATGCACTTATTTAAGTAAGGTATTGCAACATGGGTGCCAAGAATTGTTATCTCCTAGCCGGAATTATTCGCCATAATTCTTTTCTTCTATTCATGCATCGAAATTCGTCAGAGAATGAATATCCTCATGTTAGGCAGTATTTGTATCTTTTAGATATAGGTTTGCGTCCAACCAAGTCAATGTAGATGTCACCGAAGCTTTCACTTGGAGGAATAAAATCTCCTTCTTCTCCTGATCCTTATGCCTGATGACGTAGCATAAATCTTTTTCCTATTCCTCCATCCAATTCTTCCACACCCTCCGGTTCCTGGCTAATTGCTTTATATCTGCTAGAGTATTCGGTCTCTTCTTCCCAACTTCTGCTATTCTTTCCTCTCATTTCTTCCTAGTTCTTTCCCTCTTTTTCTTATCCGTATTCTTTGCTACCAATGCTTTTTTACTATTGTGTTATGTTCCATTTTAATTATGTGGGCGTACCAGTTTAGTTGCTTAAAAATTTCATTTCCATTACTGTGATCTTTCCTTCTTTCTTTATTTTTATATTGGAGTGTCCATTATTTACTGGCATATGTTAATATTGGAACTGCCACCGAGTTGTACCCTTTCAATCTTATCTTTGTATTTATCTCCTTCTTCCCAAAAGTTGTTCTGTTTGGAATGATATGCGTTGATTGTTTTCCCCATTTTTACATTTATGTCTAAATCTATCCTTCCATTTTGTGATATTATACTACTCAAGTACTCATATGATGATACTTCTTCTATCTTTTGTTCCTTAATAAATATTTCTCGCGGGTTATTTCTTATTTCAATTTCTTCTGTGCATATTTCAACCATCTTTCTTGCCTTTTCATGGTTCTGTGCATCAGCACTATGTCGTCAGCATATAGTAAATTATCTATTTTTACTGGTTCCAAACTTTTATAACATATTACTGTTTGATATTTTTGTTCTTGTTCTTGTATTTTTTATCACTCTGCCCATTAATATTATAAATAACAAGGATCTTAGGCTATCACCTTGTTTTATTCCCTTGCTCATTTCAAATGTTTTTGATGTTTCTCCTTTCATTTGTACTATGCCCATGTCTTTCTTGTACAGATTTTCAATTATTTTTGTTAGTTGTTGTGGTAAGAACCCAACCCAACCGTGTCAAAAGCAGCTTTTAGGTCCAAGAATGTTAGGTATAGTTCATTGCCCGTCTCTATTTTCCTTTCGTTTATTTGCTTGCTCTGTATGCTGCTTGTTCATCTTCTAGTTTATTTTCCATTACTCTTCTTAACCTTTTCTCTATTATCTTAGTGTATAATTTGTAACTTATAGATGATAGGCATATGGCTCTGTAATTTTCACAGCTCGAGTAGCTTCCTTTTTTATGTATTGGTAAGATGATACTATCTTCCCAATCTTTCGGAATTATTTCCGACTCCCATGCGGTTTTATATATACTTAGAAGCCACTCCTTCCCTTTTATTCCCAAATATTTTATCATCTCCGGATCTTTCCTGTTTTTGCCGCAAGCCTTGTCTGTTTTCATCTTCATCATTGCCTCTCCTAATTCTTCCATTGTTATCTCTTCAGTTGCTATGTTTGTGGTGTCTTTCTTTATCTCATCTTCTGTTTCCTCCTCCATTGTTTGTGTCCGTTTTCCATCCTTGAACTTTTCTACATAAAACTCCGCCCATATGTCCAAAATTTCCCTTGTAGTTGTTTTTATCTTTGACGCCTTTTATTTGTTTCCAATTTTTCTTTTTCGCCTCCCTTACCATATTCTTAGCTACATCTCTGTTCGTTCTAAAGTTTACTCTATCCTCTTCCGAATTCCTTCTTATGTATTTCTTCCATGACTCCTTTCTTCTTCTTGATTGCCTGGTGGACCTCTTTATTCCGCACACCTCCATAACTTTCTTCCAGTGGTAAATTCTCTGTTTATTCTAGTTTTTGAAATTCGTTGTTTGTTTTTTCTTGGTATTTTAGTCTCTCTTCCTCCTGCCTTAGTTTATGATCATCATCATATATACTTCTAATTCATTACTTTTTGTGGGTAAGACTGCCATCATCGATGGGGTATATGCCCATAAGGTTGCTCTTTAAAAATTAACACTTGGAACTTAAGGCAGAATCAAAGTATATAATCTAAAGTTATTACGGAGTGGAGTTATTGAATTTCTTAGATTTAGACTTTTCCTGCCCTCCCTTTTTGAGTTCCTGTAGCAAGATGATTTTTAACTCGAGGTTATACAAATTTTTACAAAAATTTTATATCTATTCATGTTTTAAGTTTATTTTATTAATTTTTTTTAGATTGAAAGGGAAGTGATTTTATCAAGCGGAGATAAAAACTCAAAGATCCCGATTTTACACGACTACATGAAGAAATCGAAAGGAACAATAGCACCGGACGTTCCACCTAAACAAATGCAAGCTTGGAGTCAGGGATCCCAACAACAACCGCAGGTTTTAAGTCCCGATCAGGTAGGTATTAATCGCTGGGTGTAGCTTTGAAAAAAAGGATAGAGGTAAAAACCCCGCACGACGATGGTTTCTATGCCCTCCGGTCCTCATCGTCCTTGGAGTCATCGACATCTTAAATAATTCATTTCTATTTCTCGACGACCTTGATGGACATCGAGCGCGTTTGGTCTTTTCCTGTCGGCTTCCACGAACTCAACGTGTCCCGGCTATTTTGAACGCCAAACCGATTGTTTCTTTGCTGGGACGTGCATACTGATTTTTATGTATACTCGTCTTGCGTTCGAAACTTTGAATAACGGTTTATGTATGTTGCAGCTAAGCACAAATAAAAAAATTTTTATTCTTCAAAAAATAATAATAAAACGGTTTACTGGGCTATAAAAGTTTTTATTACATAACTTGTTTCTTTATAGTTTTTATGTTTTTATGTGTAAAGGAAGTAAGAAATATAAATGGTTAAAAATTGAATCATCCATTGAATGTTTAACACTTTGGACTGATTGGTGGTATAAGAACCACTTAAAATTCTCAGTCAATACAATGGCCGAACGCCAAGCTATGCATCTTAAAGGCTGCCGAACGAATTTGTACACTGTCGCCCAGACAATTGTTGCCCGACACGAACTCGTGTAGGCGCAAACACGCCATACCATTATGCACAATGGCTTAATTGTGAGACTCTGTTCTACGGAAAGATATTATCTTCGGGGATTGTTTGTATTCATTGTGCATGACCAGCACACGCAAGTCCTTCGTCTTTCCTTCGGTTTACTCAGTCTTCTGGTATGCTCTTTACGGTGCGGGTTGTCGGTTTTTTACCTGTGATTTTCCGTTATGGTTGAATTTGCTTTAAACAACGATGTTGTAAGATTTTTGATTATGCCCATTATCTAAAATGTAAAGTATTTACTTTTTTTAGAATCATTCTGGACATGTCCAATCAGGTCAATCTAATCAGCCCCTTCAAAATTCGGAAGCTTCAGCTTCTTTGTACAGAGCAACTTATCTTTCTGGGCAAGAATACTACAATGGACAAGCTTCAACGGGTGCGGTACCAAGATCTGGTTGGCACGGGGAAAAATCATCTGGAAGAGCATATCAGACTGAGGAATATGTTGGTTCAACCCAAACCGTTATTCAAATTGACTCCAAAGATTCCCAAAAAGATTCTAATAAAAACGGAAAAGGAATGACAAAAACTTACCACACCATTAAAGACATCATTTCGAGTAAATTCAAAAGTAATAAAGAATCGGAAGATAAACTCGATGAAGGGCTGAATAATATTGCTGATGAGATGAAAAAAAATTCGAGGATAGAAGAAGATGATGGAAGAACTAAAAAGACAGCGGGGGAGCAAGGGATATACGGGAAACCATCATCATTGTCTATGCAGCATCAATATAACCAACATATCATCCAACAACATATGATAGCCTTCCAAAATCAACAGCAATACCAACAGTACAAGAACCAAAACATAATGTATAACCAACAACAACTTATGCAAGCTCGATCTCAAGAGATGTTAGCACCCCGACCGGAAGATTTTTACCAAAGCCCCTATACAAGATCAAGAATGCCCCAAAACCAACAAGGTTACATCACGATGCATCAACCGTTAGTAAAAGAAAGATGCGTCGATGATAGAAGGGCCGTTCCAGAACAAAGAAGTGCCCAACAAATCGAACGAGATAAACAAAAAAGTTTAGAAACGAGACGAGCCGCTTCCCACCCCCAATTAGCTTACGACGAAGAAGAAAATACAAACGATAACAAACCTCAACCACAAGCAACCATCCAATCAGTTCCGATTCGAAGAGGATCCCACGGAAACATCATGGAAGTCCAACAAGAAGAAAAAGACAGCGACGATGGGGGATTTTTAAACAGAAAAAATTCGAGAGAGAGACGCCCAGAAACAACGGAAGAAAATCAAAATAACTCAACCGAACCCGAAGAAAAACCGGCTCTAAGCGGAACCCCACGAAAAAAACTTGAAGGTGAAATCGGAAAAATCGAAGGGGTATACAACGTTGGCCAAAGAACCAAAATAACCGGCGAGGATGATATTAGAAATCTCAGGAAGCAAAACGCTGGGTCCGGGGCAAGTTCTGATTATGACAAACCAGGTCAATCTTCGTCCAATGCTGATTCAGGAAGAGGTTCGGCCGCTTATAGTAGCGGAAGACGACCTGGTGTTGACACCAGTAACGAATCAGAACCCCCACATACCTCTAATTATAGAGATAATCAACCTCACGATCCCGAATGGGTCGATATTGTTGAAAATGAACTTAGGCATATCTTAGAACCAAAATTACACGAATTATCTTTACATGGAAATAATATCGCCAATTCCACACTTAGCGAAAGTATCTCATCAATAACCCCACCATTACCGCCGTTATCACCTGGTGAACAATCATCTCCTAATGTAACACCAAGAAATTCGACTCGATATAAACATTCGAGTCTTCCATATGGGAGTAAACCAGATTATGATATTTATAAATCAAAGATGCATGCAGGAGCTATGAATGGGAATAGGTGGCATCAAGGTAGTTCCCAAAAACACCGATCAACAAAGAAAGTTATTGATCATAATGCGATGATGAGAACTAAACAAAGTAAGAAATTTTTTAATCAAATATCTTTTAATAACACTGTGGAACCTGATTTTCGGGGTTATTGTCTGGGGGGTGAGAAATTCCAAATCAGGATGAAAGTACTTGGCCAGTATAGTAAAACCTCCAAAGGGTTTGGCGTTCTCAGGCCAAACTTTTTTTTATGACCTTTTATATTTTTTTCCTTATCTTGATGTTTGTTTGCTTAGTTTTTCAGTTATAACTCAAGAATCATTGATGATTTCTCATTTCATTCTTCAGCAAAGACTAAGGTTTAGGTAAGGCTTAAATAAATAATTTTCATTAATATATCCATGTAAAAAATTAAGTTGGACTAATTTTATCGATTGAAATCTTTAAAAAATCGTCAAATTTCAAAAAAAAATTAATTCTATTTGAAAAATAACGTCTTTACTCGAGACTTCTACGAATTGTAACTATAAAAGCGTATTCTAATATAAGTATATAGTAATATAGTGGTACTATATTAGAGAGAGAGAACAATATTTATTTGGAATATAAAAATAATAACTATAACAAATACGAATAAATAAAAAAAAAATACATATATAAAACAAATATAAGATAAGTCCAAAAGGGCTATAGACCTGAGTCTTCCTGCCCTAAGAGTATTGATTTTATGAAAATTAACAAAAAGTAAGGACAAATTTAGTTTAAAGAACAAAGTTTATATGTTCATAAACATTGCTCTAGAGTCTAGGCCTTTTCGATGGTGATTGTTGTGGGCTAGTGTCATCGCTATCGCAATCATCGCTGTCATCAGTTTCTAAGCCACACATAATGTGACTCCATTGCTGACCCTACTGCAATTTCTGGAAATTCTTCATCATCAGGATTATCCATGTCTTCGAAGACGTGTCTACTTCACCAGCAAATTTCCGCAAGTATTGCACTTATTGAACTTTGCTAGTAGTAAAACGCAGTAGGTTTTAATTTAACTGCACAATATATTTATAAAAGACTCTCCGTCGTCATTGTCAGACATCTTATACAACATCCGGTTATTATACGTAACCAACTTCACACCACTTATTCTTACTTTTACATACAGATGTCGCGATAGTCAAACCCTAACACCCTCTCTCAAATCTAAATTACAAACAAATTTTGATTTGCTTATTCTAAATTTAACTTTAAACAAAAATTATTAAACTTTTCAAAACAAAGTGATTTTGTTAAAACATCTGCAATGTTTTTATCTGTCGATATATATTTAACATTTACTTGATTATTAGCGATAACGTCCTTAATAAAATGTAATTTAATGTCTATGTGTTTTGATCTTCTAGTGTTTTCATAATTTTTGATCATAGCCACTGCACTTTGATTGTCCACATATAACACTGGTTTACAGTTATTGTTTCCAAGGTCCTTAGCTAGTCCACTCAAATATATTATCTCAGTACAACACATTGTGGCCGCAACGTATTCAGACTCCGCCGTTGACAAAGCAACAGTTTGCTGCTTCTTCGATGCCCAAGAAACTAAATTTCCATGATAATAAATTGCCATCCCGCTAACACTTTTTCTGTCAGTCTGGCCACTTCCCCAATCTGAATCGGAGTATGCCTCAATGTTGTCGTTCCTTTCATGTTTCCTAAAGTTTAAACATAAATTTTTAGTAGTTTTGACATATTTTAGAACTCTTTTTGCCGCTTTCCATGTGCTTGTAGTAGGTTTATCCAAAAATCTTCCTAGATAGGATGTAGCATATGATATGTCAGGTCTTGATATTCCTGCTAAGTAATTTAGACATCCAACCAACTCCCTGTATGGAACATTTATTAATTCATCATTTTTGTTTGTCTGATATCCTACTTCCATAGGCGTTTTCGAAGTTTTACAGTCTTCCAAATTGAATTTCTTTACAATTTTGTCAATCAATTTCTCTTGTGATATTCTAATTGTACCCTCTCTTACTGCGATGTCCGATCCCAAAAATGTTTTTACTTCCCCTAAGTATTTTGCATTAAACTCCTTTTTCAAATTTTTAACTATTTCGTCAACATATTTATCTTCTCCACTTATAATAATGTCATCTACAAATACTATTAACCAAACTTTAATATCATAGTATAAGCAAACGTCATATCCAGATCGTTTTAAATTATTTTGCTCAGTAAATTTATTAAATGCGTCATTCCAACATTTTGGTGACTCTCGTAGACCATAAATAGCTTTGTTTAATTTCCATGCATAATTATCTTCGTTGTCAATTTTGAATCCTTCGGGAATTTTTAAATAAACCATTCAAAAATGCACTTGGAATGTCCAACTGATGTATTTTGTATCCATAATGCAAAGCATGTGATAACAACATGTAGACATTTTTGCCACTGGTGCATATACAGGGTTCCCCATAATAGGCTACCCATTTTGAAATTTGAATTAAAATTTTTTTAGTTAACAAAACAAACTTTTTATTATACTAAATTACAGCTAACTTTTTGGGATTTATGATAACTTATAAATATTTGGCTAATTTAATTCTAACTTTTAAAAATCACGTCTTCTAATTGACCTCCACCAACTTCAACACATTTTTCAATATTAGATAAAAAGTGGTTCATTACACGGCGTAGCAAACCTTCGTCTATTCCTTCAACTTCTTCACGAATTTTGACTTTGAGTTCCTCGATTGTACCTGGACGACTCGCAAACACTTTGGCTTTTAAATATCCCCACAGGAAAAAATCGGGTGCCTTGGCCTTCG